TTGCCCAATGTGATGCAACTGGTATATGAAAGCTTGGACTTAAACCAGGGTTCTTTATTCCAAAAACTACATGTTCTTTCTGACTATACTTTTAATTCCTCATGGCCAAGAACATAGCTAATAAATGTTAGGAGAAGACAGACACTTTTTTATTCAAGTTTGCCACATACAGGCTGTTTTTTCAGGTAGATTATTCAGCAGCTCTCTTTAACATCCCATTCCTTACAAGAAAAGGGAGAGTAGGTATGTGTAGCATCTCAAAGAATACAAGACTTCTCAGGTAGTTATTATTAGTAGGGACTATGATGATTGTCATGTAAAGTAGTGAATACTTACTATGTAGTAAACTTAGTGTCCATAGTATTTTATTTATATTGATTGACCTATTCATTTAAATCCCATTATGACACAAAAAAGTAAGTTGTATTATTACCTCTATTTTATATACACTTAAATCTTTTACCCAGGTCACCCAGTTTGAAAGTGGCAGAGCTAGGAGTTAAACCCATAACTGTCTGACTATACAGCTCTACCCTAATTTGCTGTCCTACACTGTCCCAGCATTGACAAACCATCTTGTGTGCTTCTTAAATGGGCCCAATCAGGAAATCAAAATGATATGGGAATGGTGGAGAAAACACACAGCATTTATTAAATATAATCAGGATATAACCCCAATTGCTTCTTCATTGAAACCACGTATGTACATGATTAGGCATTTTTGACTTTAAGGAGTCATTTAACAGTAACATCTTCTCTTAAACACATTTTCTCATGACCCTGAGTCTCTCTCATTGACCATTTGGCATACTGAGTTTGTATATTATCATTCTCTGATTCTGGCCTCAGGTTCCCTATTCCTATTTGAGGGAATAATCCTTGGCTTTTGAACATATCCTATTTGTTCTGTTGGTGGCTGTGCACAGGGTCTTTCAGCGTGCACAGAATGGCTAATGCTGCTATGGAAGGTGACAGTGGTAGGGTAGGAAAGTGAGAAGTTGTTCTGATTATAAGATACTTGGTACCAAATATCAAATTAGAAAGTGATATGCCTTGATCTTGTGTTTCATCCTCAAAAATGCATTTGAAATGCATCCTCTTTATGCTCCTTTTAACATAAAGTGCCAAGAACTTTTTGACAAAAAGATTGGTGCATAGTCCCTAAACTCAGACACTTTGAGTGTCCTCACATGGGTCAGAGTGCAAAGATTATGAATGAGATGATTTGGGAATGTCTCCAAAATGTGAATGGATTGTTATCAGACTATGTTGGCATGAACACAACTGGTGGCTTCTAGGGAATTTTCTAACTATAATGTTGGCTCAAATGAATAGTGTAGTCTGGCACCTTGGGCACATCATTTAGTGGACAGATGCATTTGTCTGTATATTTTCCCCCAGATAATTCTGTCACAAATATAAATGATTCTGAAATTATGTGAAACTAAGTTATCTGGGTGAAAATTATTTTGGAGGTTTCTTAATAGGGTATATAAAGAATTAGCACAAGACTCAGAAATTCCACTTTAAAAAACATATCCAAAACAGCCAAATATACATATCCATGCAAATACTTGTACACAATGTTTACAGCAGCATTAGTAGTAATACTCAAAAAGGCAGAACAATTAAAATATCCACCAACTCATGAATGAACAAACAAATGTGCTTTATCCATGACATAAAAAAGAATGAAGTACTCATATTTACTACAATATAGAAGAACTAGAAAACATTATGGTCAGTGGAAAAAGCCAGATATAAAAAGTTGCATATTGTAGGAGTCCATTTTTATGAAATAGGCAAATACATAGCGACAAAAAATAGATTAGTAGTTGTCAGAGGCTAAAGGAAAGGAGGAATGAAGAGTAACTGCTTACTGGGTATGGGGTTTCCATTTGGATGATTAAAATATTCTGAAATTAGTAACGAATACACAACTTTGTTGGTGTACTGAATGCCAGTGATCTGTGCAGTTTCAGCTTTTTCTTTTTTTTCCGGCAGCACGGGTTTTGAACTCAAGGCCTCATGCTTGCTAGGCAGGTGCTCTATCACTTAAGCCACTCTGCCAACCCTGAGTTGTGCACTTTCAAATGTTGGATTTTGTATTATGTGAATTCTACCACAATAAAAATAAAATGATTTTAAACCACAATTCTTTGGAAAAGAATGCTAGGTCTCATAAAGCCAGAACTCACCAAATGCTGCTGTCATTATTGCTGCCACTATTGCACAAGCATTCTCTTTTGGTTCACAGACTTCCAGGATTTTAACTAGTCCTCAAATTCTATAATGAGGGTACATTTGCAAGTATGTAAAACTTTGTGCCCACTTCCTGCTTTCTGGATCCAGTTAGGGGGAAGAAATTGAAATTTTCCCTTACCTTAGGTCCACCATTTCAACCTTCCTATCAAATTGTGAGAACCAGAGCCTTGTTAAGGAAGCCACAACCAGTTTAAGGGCAGCAGGTCATGGAAAGGTTCTAGCTCATCAAACCTGATCATCTGAGGGGCTTATAACTTTATATAATGTCAGCATAGGTGTCTTAACAACCCAGATGATTCAGGCGTATAGGCCTCACGCCACTTCTTTTTTTTTTTATTTTTGGCGGTAATGGGGTTTGAATTCAGGGCTTCATGCTTTTTAGGCAGGCGCTCTACCACTTGAGCAATTCTGCCAGTCCTGTTTCTTTTTTTGTGTGTGTTGGGTATTTTCAAGGTAGAGTCTCAGAAACTATTTGTCCTGATTGGCTTCCACCAGTGATCCTCCTGATCTCTGCCTCCTGAGTAGCTAGGATTACAGTTGGGAGCTATCGGTGTCCAGCCTGATGCCACTTCTTTAGGTAAATACAGAAAATAATTCTATAAGCTAAAAAGCAGATTGCATTTATATAATCACATAGAAAGGAAGTCATTGCACAAAATCTACTTTCACTTATTGTTACACTCTGATTTAAACATTAACATTAAAAAGTAAGGTTGCCCATCAACTACATTTTCCTTGCTACTTCCTGGGTTTGGGATAAGGATAGGAGCCTCAAATAAAGACCTCCATCTACTGGTGATCCTTAGATAGGCTTCTGTGAGAAGGCCCTTGACTGCTGGCTTTCCCCGCCCCCAAAGCCCCTTTCTAGTTCGAAGCAGCCAAAGAGTGGACAGTGTCCCTTTTTCTTAATTGCAGTTAGGATTACTTCTTCAGATGGGGGATTGAGACAGGAGGAAGGACCCCTGGAAACCTCCATTATGACTTCCTGGTGATCTTAAAGGGTGGATAGAAGGAAAGGCAGGACAGAGGGTGTGAAGATCAGAACTGACCAATCAGAACATTGCATGCACAGCCAACCAAAATGCTACTTTCTGCTTACCTAATTAGCATAGAGACTGAGCAATACCCTGGAGCAATCACATCATTTTTCAGGCTCTTTCTCTTGGGAACCCCCAATTCTGGGGGCTCTACTTTCTCACTTTTACACTTTTGTACCTCAGTAAACTCTTCTGCTTTACACTTTTTTTTTATTTTCATTTTTCTTTTATTATTCATATGTGCATACAAGGCTTGGTTCATTTCTCCCCCCTGCCCCCACCCTCTCCCTTACCACCCACTCCACCCCCTCCCTCTCCCCTCCCCCAATACCCAGCAGAAACTATTTTGCCCTTATTTCTAATTTTGTTGTAGAGAGAGTATAAGCAATAATAGGAAGGAACAAGGGTTTTTGCTGGTTGAGATAAGGATAGCTATACAGGGCATTGACTCACATTGATTTCCTGTGCGTGGGTGTTACCTTCTAGGTTAATTCTTTTTGATCTAAACTTTTCTCTAGTACCTGTTCCCCTTTTCCTATTGGCCTCAGTTGCTTTAAGGTATCTGCTTTAGTTTCTCTGCGTTAAGGGCAACAAATGCTAGCTAGTTTGCTTTACACTTTAAAAGAAAATAAAGTTGGATCTGTCAAAAATCAATAATGTAGAAATCTTGGTTTTGTTTTATTTACAGGTATGCTATTGTCATTGGTATTAAATACAGAAAACAGAAATAACAGAGATTAGAAATGTGTGCTTTATATTTTGTACGAAGTCCACTATTCAAGTAAAAGGGGGAACTGCTTGCATTCAGTAAATGTACAGCAAGTCTCTAGGAAACAATTGCGAAACTGGCTTAGGTTAGCCCAGTGTGATCTGCACTCAACCTGTACTTGTTCTTGATAAAGAACCAAACTTGCAAGGTTTTAAATATTATCAAAAATGCAAGCAATCCTTCTCTATTCCTTATTTGAAGGTCTAAGTACACCCAGAAGGACACTACATTCCAGACTAATCTCTCTCACAGAGAAAATATACAGGCATTATTGACACTGCACAACATTGTTCTTCTCATGAGTTATAAATGCTTCTTGGCATTAACTCATTCAATGAGTCCAGTATCATTGAAAATGATTAAAACACACATACCTCCTCTCTCATTTGGTGGGAAAGTACTGGAAAAACTTACAATGCAGAACAGAAGAAGACAAAGGCAGCAGAAAGTATTTGCCCTAATGCTTCCTGCCTGAAGGTTCATGTAAGATAAAAGAAGTAGAGTGTTAATTCTCAGCTGCATTGTGAAGTGGTGCATCTGGGAAAAGAGAATGGAGCAGCCACATTTATAGCTAAATTAATGAACATGGGCTCTAAACCTCATACTGGAGTCAGCAAATGAACATGATATCTCACCCAAAGGTAGTAAGTAGTAAAAGAGAGGGGAAGACAATCTCCATTTGCCTTGTTGTGTATGGAAAACAGAGAGAGACAGAAGGTGGTGAAAGCAGTTTTAAGGAGCTCTGCATCTCCTTACTTTGGGTTAATGAAACTGAGATCTGATTTGGCCTTTCCCAGAATACTTTGGTTATTTTCCTTTCTCCAAAGCCCAGAAATGAAGCAAGGAGACAGCTTGTGCTTGCTAAAGCCATTCCAGTTTCTTGTGCTCCCTCCCTTCAGACCCAAAGCCAAGGTCTAAGCTCCTCCTACCTGGTAGAGCTCAGTGGCTGTGCACTGAGTGGTCAAGGTCTTCACAGGCTCAAGGTCATCTTCATCACTGCTCAGCTTCAGGTCATCCTCAAGCATCCTGAAGAGAAATCAGAGTGTGCTGTTCACATTAAAAAGCATTTTTATAAATCATCCTCAGATTCATCTTGCAAGGAGCATAAAATATTGGAACTACAATCTGACAGCTGCAATTCTGTCAAAGGTGCAGAGGGAACCAAGATTCTTTCAGCTAATTAGATATTTGAGCTCTTATATTTATGTCATACTCTGCACACATCTTCTTTCTCTACCTTCCCCTAAATCAAGGTGGGGAGGAGACTATTTCAGCATCTCCAGAGATGACTGGAGTCTATATATTTTGGATATTAAAAATGCAATAAATGTACTTATCAATCAATGTGTAAATGGGCTGTGGCATTGGATTTCCACAGAACAGGATACTTTGAGTCTCCCAGGCATGAATTGGGACATAAAAACAGCCCCTATCTCTAGAAGCTGTTGGTGTAGCCTGCTGTGGCTTTCTGGATGACAGATGCAAAAGGACCAGTGAACTCCCCTTACTTGTCAATGCCCTTTGCTGCTGGGTAGCTCAGTGGCCACAAAAGTGCAGAGTGAGAAATAGCTAGACATTAATGTTTTGATATATGACACATCTCTTTCTGTATAATTCGATCCAAGAGATGTAAGCCAACAATGTGGATAAGAAATCTTTCTTTCCTATGGCAAGGTACCTGAAAAATATGAGTGGTCTGCATTTTTGTGATGAACTAACACTTTCAAAATTCATTCTAGTACCATCCATTTCCACTCTTTCCAAGTTTGAAGTAGAGCAGAAAGAGTAGGTTATTATGTTAAAATGCAAGGTACATAGGCTTCAAAGATCCATTGGTGTTCATATTTTATTTTGCTAAATCAACATTAGACATCATCATCAGGCTTCAAGTGAGGGTAGTCTCAGCCTCTCTGGACCAATTTCCAATTCCGAAGCATGCTCTGCTCTTTTTTCTTCTAGGTTTAGCATCAGGCTCAGCTCTAGGGCTAGAATTCCAATTTTCAATTCTGGAAATTCAATTTTTCTCACCCACCTCTCAGTCAGATCCAGTTCTTCCACAAAAGTTTTCTAGAAAGAACTCTTATCTCAGAATAAATACATTTTTCCTCTGACAGTTCCTCAGCTGGCTGGATCACAGCATTGCTTTCTACTTCATCTTTCTCCCCAACCAGTCCCTAATTCCCATGTGTGTGATGGGTTCAACATACCTCTGTCTTCTTTATAGCATCTTTCCAGAAAGAAAATGAGTCCACAGGCCTCATTTTATAGACAAGGAAGGAAAAATTTACTTTGCTTAAGGTCACACAGTTAGTGCTATTGCCAGTCCTAAAATCCCATTTTTAGTTTCTCATCTGTGTATTTTGGTCAGAAGAGGGAAGCCAGAAGGGAAAATGCAGCTTCTAATTTGATTTAGGGGGAGGCATCATTTTAGAGGCTATGTTCAAATGTTGGAAAGGATTCAGGTCAGAGTGGGTATACAGTAATTCTGTATACTTTCATGCTCTCCTACTTTCATGCTCAGCCACATAAGACCAGGATATATTTACTGAGATCTGAAAACCAAAGACTGATACAAGGATTGGTAGGAAGGACAACTGTTAGATTTGGTTCCAGTTAAACTAAATTTGTAAGATTTATGACTGTCTAGATGACTGTCTAGACTAATAGATGTTTTGAAAATCTTAAAGAAGGAAAAAAATGTATCTTGGTACTTCTTTTGAACGTGCAGGCTTATGACTCTGAACAAATAACATTTTACAACACTTTATGGGAAATGAAGGCTATATCAGTCTTATAAGCCATAGAACTGTAGAATTCACATTTAAAAAACAACAACCTGTTGTCATTATAAAATGATTTACTTCTCATGTGTGTGTATGTTTCAATACATACAAGGAATGTCTACATGCTAATTGATATTTACATGGTCAGAAAAACAGATGGTAAATGATTCCTTCACTTAAGTGGGTAGATTTTCTATATCAGAGAAAGTGCTAAGCATTTGATCAGTAGAAAAGAATTGAATTCTGACAATGACCATATAAAGGAGGTCTGTTACTAGCCCCAATTCCCAAGGGGATACTCTGGGGCTTAAGTGCTTACAGACCTGCTCATGACCACCCAGCTAGAAATCATGGAAGCAAACATAGAATCCAGAACATCTCCAGCTAGAATTTGAGAGTACACATGTTTTCCTAGAAGTTACAAATTATAAAGGACAGTGTATCAAATAAAATCAATAGCAACAAAAACCTCACAAACAATATTAACACAAAGTAACAACAGAATTCTCTTGAAGTCTGATATTTTGGGAAAGTCATTCATGAGTTCTGAACCTCATCTGGATCCCTTATCTGTTCAATGGAACAAAACTTTGGTTATTTCACAAGAGGGAAATAGTGAACAGAACAGGACCAATACATGTGAAAGTACTTTATGAAAGCACAAAGTTAATGCAGGCTGTGTTTAGTTTTGAAAGACACCATCTTTGTTGGAAAAACAGTGGACATTGCTAATACTATCATATAATCACAAGCAGAAATCTCTATGCACCTTTGCTCCTCTTATTTTAATTTGCTGAGAAACCTGAAGGTAAGTCATGATGGCTTGAGACACGTTTAACAACATCTTGAGACTGGATCTAGAAATGGGCTTATTGTCTTTAGGTTATTCTCCTTCAGGTAGAATGAGTATCCAGCGCCAGAACATGGAGATTCAAACTCAGCAGTTAGTCTACTCCTCAATCAACTCTATACTTTGTAAAATGGAAATGAAATTCACTGCAATGTGTGATTCTGGAAATAAGCAGCCAATGTACGTACTGATGGACATTCTCCTTCTCCCCCCATGCAACAAGCTTAGAATGGATTTGATCCTTAATAAAGGACAATTTGATGCATATAACCAGGTCTTAGTATACACAAGTCAAGGAAACATGTAGGAAGGCAAAAACTATCTAGTTATCTCTGGAGATATTAGATATTCATTTCATTCATTCTACTTCTTCTTTGATCCATTAAGATTTATTATTGAATATATGTGTGCTCGTTTGCATTTTCTTGCCTGGCTAATGCTGAATATTTCTCCAGTGAAAGTGGAGGATTTTTAAAAGATTTTAGATTTAATTACTATAGAAGCACCATTCACTTCCATTTCAGTTACGGTCATTTCTACAGAAAACGATAGTCTCTTTGCATGAGACCATAATTCCATAGACAAATTCATCCCATATTAGATGAAAATGTGAAACAAGCATGGTCATATAAATGGTTATATAATCTTAAAAACAACAATAACAATTGTCCTTCAACTTTTCAATTAGATGAAAAAGAACTAATTGTGCCTCCTTAGTGATTTCAGATGTTTGTTCAGGGTCTAAGTGGTTTATAATGCCTGTCTATGTCAAAGAACTTTATTTTTATTACTAATGTGACTTTAATTTCTATAGTGTAAAGTAGAATTGTCCACCAAACTCTATCTAAAAATCCAAGTCCTTGTCCTGAGAAAATGATCCTATGAAAGCTCCAATAATGAAATTTGGGACAGATGAGAAGCAAAAGGATGGAGGAAGCATTGAAGAAAGAAAAAAAATTGTGCCGGGATCTATATCCTCAGTCTCTGTGCCTTAATGTGAACCTGATGGTCTCCAAGGGCTTTTTGGTCTGGAACTTTCTAGAAGACTATGGTCATGACAGGTCCCATGTAAGATGTAACCATCAAATCGTAAAACTACTCTCCATAAACTATTTCAACTTACATAGTAGAATACTTAGGTAATTTTGATGTGGAAAAATAGAGAGTTTAAAATGTTATTATAAAGGGTTCTGTGTAAATGAAGCCCTTGGTTAAGGCAACATGAAATTAAGAGCAAATGATATTTGTTTCTTTGTGTCACCAAGTCACCCAGTGGAGATATTGAAAGCATCCTCAACATATGGCTCTGCAGACTTTGTCTGATGGATAGTTATAATGCTCTTCTATTATTTAGGATCTTTAATTGCTAAAATGTTTCTCCAGTTTGCAGTTGCCCTATTGTGTTTTTTACCTGGTAGCCTGAGTCATGGAGACTAGAATTGCAATGCTGTTGGAGCTGAAACCAGAGCTCCTTTGTACAGAATGGGAAGCATGGGCAGCACTGCTTCACTCAGGTTTTAGACTCTCAGGAAAAGTGAAGAACCATAGCCTCTGGCCCAACTCTTTCGGAGTCTTCTGGTTATGAACTTAGGTTATTGTTGTCATCCTGAGTACCCAGAGCTGATTGCAATCAGAGTAAGATTCTTATGGCTTCAAATGCATCCTACAACAGGGTTTGTGGAGAATAACTCAGTCTGGGGATACCTGGTGACTTTTGCCTTCTGCTCACAGTTTTATTGTGGGCTATACTCTACAATAGCAACTTGGATCTCTTGACTCCTTAAGGGCTGTTCTTCTTAAAAAAGAAAGCTGGAAGGAATGAAACATGATTGATTTAGAATTACTCAGGGAAATAAATATTTTTCTCTATAATGTTCTACACTCTCTGCAGCATTAAATCATTTGTTGTTATAAAGGTAGGTAGGTGATAAGGAAGTGGTGGTGATATTTTTCAGAGCATCCACTCTGTTTCCCTGAAGTAAAGGTCCTCATGCTTTTTTTTTATTCTCTCTGCAAATTCTGGGAATCTTAGTTCAAGAACTGCAGCACTGACAGTTGGTTTGAAAATCTATATTATATTCTAAATGGAGGAATCTCCAATATCCATCAGGTAGAGTCTTATAGCCCAATATCACCCATTGTACCCACAGTGTAGGTCTAGTCAAGATTGTGTACCCTGCCATAAGCATGCAGACCTGGAAAGGGGGCTTTTTTTGTAGCTGATGGCCTGCTAGAGTTTTCAGGAAATAGGGAGATTCAGAAGATTACTTTGGTAGCTTAGCATGAGAAGCAAGAGTTCTCTTAGGGACCATCTAGTCCAGGGGTAGGCAAACTGCAGTGCTTCCACTGTTTTCACATTGCCCATAAGCTAAGAGCACTCTGAGGGCTAATTA